CTTCTTTCATTTCTTTTAATATGAAAATTCATGCACTAACTGCTATTTGTGTTTTACTCTTTATTGGAGCTGTAGGAAAATCCGCACAAATAGGATTCCGTACTTGGTTACCGGACGCTATGGAGGGCCCTACCCCAGTATCAGCTCTGATTCATGCAGCTACTATGGTAACACCAGGTGTTTTCATGGCTACGCCGGACCCGGACCTGGACATTTCCGGACATGGGAACGGACCCGTGTCCAGTAGTTTCCGGACGTCCGGAATTCCGGACATTTCCTGACCTCCGGACATGGGGGGGGGATCCGGACGGTCCGGAAGTCTGGACAGGTCCGGAAATGTCCGGACCATAAATTTAAAAAAAAAAAAATAAAAAAAAATCTGAAAAAAAAGTATGTTATGCAGAATAACAATGCAAACCACTTTTGCCTCAGATTCATGTCAGAATTCCTAACCAAACTTGAGTTAAAAGTCAAAAACTATAAAAAGCTTAAAAAAAGACTTTAAAAACTAATAAAAGGTAATGAATTATTAATAATTTAAAAATTGGGGTTGTCTAATAAATTACTATAGAGAGAGAGCATGTCCGGACCCCCAAAAAAAGCACCAACGGGCTTTTGGGGGCTCGACTCCTCAATGGGGAAGGGTCCTGGACCGTTTTTTTTTTTTTTCCTCGAAATTTGCCAGATCCGGACCTTCCAGACCGGACGTCTGGATTCCGGACTGAATCCAGACCGTCCGGACGGCGGTCCGGACGTCCGGATCGTAGCCATGGTTGTTTTCATGATGGCAAGGTGTTCTCCCTTATTTGAATACGCACCCAAGGCTTTAGTTGTGATTACTTTTGTGGGAGCTATGACATCCTTTTTTGCAGCAACTGCAGGAATTTTACAAAATGATTTAAAAAGGGTTATTGCTTATTCTACTTGTAGCCAATTAGGTTATATGGTATTCGCTTGTGGTATCTCCAATTATTTTGTGAGTATATTTCATCTGATGAACCATGGCAATACGTTTTGTTTGTTGATTGTGCTTGTGTGATCAGCCACATTGGGCCTGATCCCTTAGCTGATCACCTTGACTTGCTTGTACATGCTTGAGGAAGAATTTGCTAAGTTCCAGGCGGATTCCATTTCTCTAACACTGCTGATAGACAGACTGTTGATTGGACTGGATTCATCTTCTTCTGAAGATGAATCAGCCTCAAGCTTGTTTGTAGTCTGACAAGAATTTCGCTGTGGGTTCCTTATCTGACTACCTTCTTGTGTATGCTTGGAGTTGCACTCATTATCTGAGCACGTTTTGTGAACTGCCAATGATCTGCACTCACTGTTTGGATGACCTGTGTTGAGAGAAAGTATGATCACTGCAGATCCTACTTAAT